CGACTTCGTGCTTGTGGGGCTCCAGAGGTGCCTTGTGGGGCCCAGAGCCCACAAGCAATATCCAACGACGCGAATCCATGCCAAATATCTTGCGTTTGTAGTTCCCAAATCCGAAATATGTGTACCAGGATATCAGGGCGCTGGAAGTTTGGGGATTCATCCAGTGACGAGATCCCCGTTTTTCTTTTTTTTGGGGGGAATGCCAGCGGTATCGCGGGCCTTCAGTCGCGCACTCGCCATTCTCAGTTGCTTTCTCGGAGGCACACTCGAGGATTTGCATACTACATCCTGGGCTCCTGGGTTACAGGGTAAAGAACCAATGGGCGCATCCTGTTGTTCATGCCGCAGTAAACGTATGCGGCCGCCCGCGCATGCACGCAAGATCGCATTCGCACCATGTCCGTCCACGAAGCAGGGGCTCGTCGGTCGAGTTGGGGAGCCCTCTGCTATGCGACCTGCGCTTGTCCTCAGCGCTTGCTGCATTGGCAGCTGAGGCAGCCTCACTTTCTTCCTTGTGCCCCTCATCCCCTCATCTAGATTCTGGTATTGGGGTGCAGCGTCAATTCGTCGCTGTACCTTGTACCAGCAGCCCTTTAGAATGCAGTGCCCGGCGTTCGATATTTCAGCAGCAATCGAACACGTCCCCGAATTTGTTGGTTGGAGTTCGGCGTGCCCCCGGGTACGTGGCTCTTCCGCGCTCGCTGCAGGCAGGCTTTATCTGCTCTCGGCGGTGGAGACCCGACAGCCGAAGGTCTTGGAGGGGCGTGCGCCTGTGGACCCCCCCCTGGCGGGGGCTGCCTTCACAAAGGGCGGCACGCGGACAAGGGCATCGGGCGGCGCACTCGCGAAGGAGCCGTATAGGATTTTTCTCAAGAGGAAAACCTCGCCGTCGACGGATGGAGAAGGCCCGCGGAAACCGCCAGAAGCAAAACATTGGCGGCTTCGACAGCGGAAGGTTGGCCGAAGGTTGCCCAGATAGTTCAGAGCAGATTAACCCATCGCATTTGAAGTCGGCCACGTGCCCCCTTGTCTCGCGAGAGATGCCAATGCAACAGGGCGACTGGAGCGCGGCTCCCGAGAGGCTAAGCCTGGTGACAACCTATGTTTGTTGGGATGTGTGCCTTCCGCCCTTATCGGTTTCATTGTCGCCTGGGCATTTCTTTCCAGCTCGTGCAACTCGAGGTTTCGTCATAATGTCGATGCGATTAGTTGCTATTGCTCAGTCGTGAAATCGACTTCAGGCAAGCATCAAACGAAGGAGTCATCTATCTATTTCTAGGCGTTTCCATGATCATCTTGCACGTTCAGTCCTTGTCCCTGTGTAGTATCCCAAAGCCTGAATGCTGAGCGCTGCCGCGTCTTACCTCTGTGTAGCAAGGACCATGGATCGCTTGTGTCTCACGCTCTGAGAAGTTCCTACAGGGGACACCGCCGCGCCACTGTTCTCTCATATAGCTGTACTGCCTTGGCATCGTGGCGATGCTTAGTAGGCTTGTGCATGGACAGCTCAATTGTGTTCGGAAGCATCTCTTGCTGGACATCCCACTGCGTCTTGCATCCGCCTCGCCGACACCATATGCTGATGCGTATCAGTTTGTCGTCTGTCGTGGGGGGTAGGGCAGCCTGGTCCAGCGGATGGGCCCCGCGCCAGTTCCCTTCGCATCCAGGGTGGGTCATGACGAAGCGCCAGTGCCAGTACTGGCAAAGTGACCCTGGACTTTGGTCTTCAGTTGCTGGGGTATGTGTGCCAGCGTATGAGCACTGCAGTCAAGACGCTGAGATAAGAATCACTCTGGGCTCAGGAGGGGAGGAGGAGGAGGAGGAGGAGGAGGAGGAGGAGGAGGAGGAGGAGGAGGAGGAGGAGGAGGAGGAGGAGGAGGAAGAGGAGGACTAGGAGGAGGACGAATCTTTGGTTTTCGGGCCGTTCTTTAGACCCAGGGCGGGAAACGTCTTCGTGGCCTAGACTCGCCGTGGCCACGACTTGCCCCTTGGCTCCTTGCTCCTCGTCCCCTGCGGCAGCACGAGGATCGTGAGGCGTTTCTGTGCACAGGACGCGTCCTCGGCCGGCCGCACGGCTCGTCCTCGCGCGCCGCAAAAGAGCGCATCCGCCTGCGCCTGGCGCGCGCGGTCGCCACCGCGCCGAGGGCGGGGGTGCGGGGGGCTCGGGGGTGCCAGGCCGTGTGGCGCCTTAGCATAAACGGCATGCGAGGCGTTGCAGAGAGGGTCTCGCCTTCGAGGCATCGGTAGGTTGATGTCTCTTCGTTGTCGTTGTGATCGTTGCGATCGTTGCTATCGTTGCTGTCGTTGTCGTTGTTATCGTTGAGATCGTTGTCGTTGTTATCGTTGCCTTCGAGGTATCGAGAGGTTGGTATCTCTCCGTCGGTGGAAGGCGCGGGAAGGGCGGCGGAAGCCGTCGACAGCATAACGGGAGCGGCTGCGCCGGCGAACGGCCAGCGGAAATTTGCGGAAGTATGAGTCGCCCTCTCAATAGAGATGGCATTTTTGTGGGTGCAGGGTGTCCAGAACCCGCCAGGTGGCGCCCCAGCAAGCATGATGTGTTTGGTTCGTGATGCAATGCGGGTCTCGAGTGTCGTAGGCAGTCATGCGGAGCTTAAGTTTTATATGTTGGGCTTGATATCTTGGGGGTGATGGCCCTGCGTGTTATTTCGCATGATGCGAAGACAATGAGAAGACAAAGTCCCCCCTCCCATACACACATATCCACACACATACGCGCCAACCGTTGCACAGCGCGATGCCGGATACATTTTCGAGAGGGGGAGTACGTCTCTGCTGGAAGCGAGTGCTGTAATGCGATATCGGAGCATGAGGCTGAGTAAAGCAAAGCAGCTTGGCATTTGGCAAGGAATTCAGGTGCGCGTGGTGTCTGGTATACTCGGGGCATTGCGTCGCTAGTTCGGAAATCGCACCGCCCTTCCTCATGTGAGCAGATAGATTCGAGCACCGGCGGCCCGCCAGGCCGCAAATGACTTTACCTGAACGTCTGGAGCTGTAAGGTTCCCATCGCTGTTTTGCGGGGTTGCCTTCGGCCTGCCTGGCCGCAGAGATCGGAATTGATGCCTCGTGGCCCTTCGGTCCTGCGTGGCCCCCGTGGTCGCAGGGAGTGGAATCGGCGCGTCGTTGCCCTGCGGCTTGCAAGGGTGGAATTTGAGGCGCGCGGCACAGACCCTCATGGCTCTCCTATTTGGTGTGGCGTGCAGAAGAGGTCTCGGTTGCGCGTGGCCCGTACAGTGGGGGCGCGCATCACGAAACCATATGCTTTTCGACAGGGTGCCCTGGGTTTCTTCGCTCCGCGCGCTGCGCGGTGACTTCCCGCAGCCGCTGAAGAAGCTGCTGCGTTCAGGGTGCTCCGGGCTTCCCCTCAGGTGCACCTCGCGCGCGGGTTTTCAGGGTTGGGTCTCTTGCGAGGGTTTCTTGCGGCCGCGCCCATACTGCAGTTCTTATTTCTTTGCGCTCTCCACACGTCGTTTCTATTGTCTCCGAGTTGTCAGTCCTCGGCCAGGGCCCTTTGGAACTGCGGATGCCAGGTGCCGCAGTTCGGCGCAGCGACTTGCGCTGCCCATGCTCTACACCATCCACATTTTTTTCAGTCTTGACATGCTCTACACTCTCTGCTTCATTCTCGGCGCGTTCATTATCGACGCTATCTAAGCTCTCGGCGCGCTATTCGGGAACCAGGAGTTGGCAACTTGGCCGCTCATCGAAGCCCGCGGGATACACAGGTCACTAGGCACCAATAGGTATGCTGTCCACCGGCTCGGCGAGAGGTTTGTTCTATCATAATGTGTGCACCATCCGCGAGAATTGGTTGAAATACTCCAGGGAGTCATTCACCTCGTCTTATTCGTTATTCCAATGTGAATCTCTTCCCAAGGAGGTTGCCATCTAGAGCTCCAAAATTGTTTACCGCACCAGTTCATCAAGATGCCCCACCCCGCTGTGTCGATAGGTCGGCCCACGCCATAGAACAAAAGCATTGCTCCGGGGTGGATGGCGGGCGGCGACCAGGGGTCTCCTGGAACCCGGGGGGCCTCTGGCGGCCTTCGGGACTCTCTGGAGGCCCCACGACGGCCGAGGGCGTCTGAAGACCTCGATCCTGGCTCTGCGACCCTCGAGCCTCACGCCCCGACTCTTGAGCCTCCAGCTTCGAGCCTCGACCCTCGAGCCTCTGGCCTCGGCCCCCGCCCGACGCGCCCGCAGGCGGCCCCCCAGCCGATCTCCGCCGGGCCAGGCGCGTTCGCGCTGGTCCTCGCTGCGATGCTCGTCGCGCTGAAGGCCTGCGGCGGCACCCGCCCTCGTCGTCGTCGTCGTCGTCGTCGTCGTCGTCGTCGTCCGGGACTCCGCGGGGACCTGCAGGGATCCCCAGGAACATTTGGAGGGGGAGGAGGAGGAGGAGGAGGAGGAGGAGGAGGAGGAGGAAGAGGAGAAGGATAAGGAGGAGACGGAGAAGGAGAAGGAGAAGGAGAAGGAGGAGGAATCCCCAGAGGAGGAGGAGAAGGAGCAGGAGAAGGAGGAGGAGGGAAGGAGGAGAAGGAGGAATCCCCAGAGAAGGAGGAGGAGGAGGAGGAGGAGGAGGAGGATGAGGAGGAGGAGGAGGAGGAGGAGGAGGATGAGTTGCAGCCAGCAGCTCCCTCCCCCCCAACACCCTCGGGGGAACACTCAGTCTCACCGACCTGCACCGATCTTGGCCACACGGGTCCTGGGCCATCGCTCCTGGGCCTGGGATAGGCTTTGCCAGGCTCGGCCTAAATGAGTACATTTATATTCATAATAGACATAGATATGTATGTTTGTATGTATGTATGTATGTATGTATGTATGTATGTATGTATGTATGTTTGTATGTATGCATGCATGTATGTATGTATGTATGTATGTATGTATATATATACATATATAGTATATATACATATATATATATATATATCTGTATGTATATATGCACAGCTATATATAATATGTATACTCGGGCGTGGACAGAACCCCCAACAGTGACACGTCGATTAGTGAATTGTCCGTTTTCGGTTCTCGAGAGGGCGCCGTGGCCGTTATTTTCCAGGCTTGCGCCCGCCAGGTTTGGGCCTCAGGTCGTTTTCACTAAACCACGTTTTACTAAAGGGGGGTCTGTCCATCTCCGATATGCATATATATATATATATATGTAACTGCCCTGGCAACCCGGGTTCCCCGTTCGAGCCGGCGCCGAAGACGCGAATGGAAGACGCTGTTCCCCGTGAAGACGCGTCCCTGTGAAGACGCTATTCCCTGTGAAGACGCAATCCCCTTTGAAGACGCTATTCCCGGTGAAGACGTTATTTCTTGTGAAGACTCTATTCCGGGTCAAGACGCTATTCCCTGTGAAGACGCGTTCTGCGGACACAGACAGCAATTCCCCGATGAAGACGCCATTCCCAGTGAAGAATCGACTCCTGGTGAAGACGCTATTCCTTGTGAAGACGCTATTCCAGGTGAAGACGCTATATTCCCAGTGAAGACGCTATTCCCGGTGAGGACGCTGGTCCTGGTGAAGACGCTATTCCCTGTGAAGGCTGTATTCCGGATGAAGACGCTATTCCCGGTGAAGACGGTATGCCCTGTGAGGACGCTGTTCCCTGTGAAGACGCTATTCCGGGTGAAGACGTTATTCCCACTGAAGACGCTATTCCCAGTGAAGACGCTATTTTGGGTGAAGACGCCGGGTGAAGAACTCTAAAGTGAGCTGGGCGTTGCATGTGAGTGAGCGTGCATCCGCGGCTGCTTGGCTCAAAGCGGCCGGCCGCCCAGATCTGACTACACCTCAGCGCGAGGTATACTATTTGCAATCGATACCAAAACTGCTGGAGATGGCTCGCCTCCTACTACTGGGACCATCGTTACTGCGGTACATCAGAGCTGGAGCTTGGCTTCGCCTAAGGCGACGCTGCTGGTTGGGCCTCCCAGCCCCTTTCGAACTTGGTAGCGGAGCTGGCCTATGGTGGTCAGCTCTCGCTCCACTCCGCACCATCCACGGCACTATCTGGTGAACTACAGACGTAGGGGAACATCAGGGTGCAGTGGGTTTGCGCGGAGGAATGTTCATGACTACGCAGCCTGGCGAGGACACTTGCAGTGACACCTCTGCCTACGCGGAGGCCTCTTACTTTCGTCCTACATCCCTGCGCTACTACACCCCTGAAGTCCACCCGCCTACTCCAATTGGAAACTTCTTCGAAGACATAATGCATGGAAACATGCGATATGACATTGTGCCGCCTCCACCCCCACGCAGGCTTACGACCACGCATCGAAAACCCCAACCGACTACATCCGACCAGGACCTGTGAGGCCATTGGATTGGTATTGCTATCTTTGGGCTCACATGGGTCGCTATCGGGTGTGCGGTAGGACTTATGCTTGGCGGAAACGACACAAAAACGACCGGCCCCCAGTGGGACCCGGCAGGTCAAGTACCTCTCCGCGAATTCGTCCGCGAGGTACATGCCTGGATCAACGTGACCACAGGCAGCATGACGCCCTCCCAACAAGCTGCAGCCTTGCAGCGAGGTTTGGGAGGCCTCGCACGGACCATAGCCATGATAGTTCCCCCCAGCAGTGATCATTGTTGGTGTTAACATAGGTGGCCGCCATACCGACGGCGTCACCTACATCATGTTCATCTAAAGCACGAAGTTCGAGAACCTAGAAGAGGAACGCCAAGTCAACTCTGGTACAGCTCTCATCGACTTCTGAATCCATGCGGGAGAACGGATCGACCAGACGTTGGCGCGCTTCGAGATAGCCCGCTATGAAGCTGAAACGGCAGGCTTTAATACCTCCAACTTCCAATTTTTAGCAGTTATTTTATTCAGAGCCCTTGGAGTGGGGACATCGCGTGCACAGCAACTCCTGCAGCCACTAAACCACCACATGCCGAGAGACCAGCAACAGTTTGACTTTCTACTTGAACGCATGAGGTCATCTGCGCACATTGCTGCGATAACCCCTTGCAATATTGGTGATATGTTCAGTCACGGTCACCGAACCGAGACCTTCCACGTTGAGGCAAACGCAGGGCAACCTTCTCATAACGCTT